AAAAGAAAAAATTAGAAAAAAAAAAGTGAAGAATATAGATTACAACAGAAGTTCTAGTATATGTAAAAGAATCATTTAGAATAATCGTGAACTGAATTTGAGGTTTAAATTTTGTGTAATCTATAATACTGTGAATTGAAGATAACAGATATAGAATATATTACATGCATATGATCTGAGTAACTGAAATTACATTCATAAGAACAAATATATAAATTCACCAAAGAATGGATATTAAGCAAAATTTATAAAGCTATAACGAATATAAAATAAGGGATGTCATTAATTTTTTTGCAGAATTAGACATAACACAATATGACAAACACTTACAAGAACAATTACGGTGCCCTAAGCATACTTTCTTGCAGTCATCTTTACATTAGTTTGCTGTATAACATATATTACATAATAGTTTATTGTCAATTTTGAATTTAAGATACATGATTTTAATGAGCGTTAGTTTATGAAATAAAGCACACTAGAGAAAAATCTGTCTAAGTGATATTTTCTTAACAGTTTCACTTGATACAAAGTAGTATTTTCAATACTCTCATTCTTTAATCTATTTATAAAACTTCTAAAATGTTTCAAGGAATAAACAATCTATTAATACTGTTAACAAAATGTAATTGCTGTCAATTAAACAATAAATACAGATAACATTAAAATCACATTTGTTTTTTTCATTATTATTATATTGTACTATAAATTAAAAACAGATATGAATTTTCAAAGCAATTACATTTTTTAATTAATTGAGTTTCTCTTAAGCGTAACATTGTTTAGTGACAAATGAAACAGAAAGGGTGTAATAAAGTATGGCTTATTTATCTTTACCTTTTCGAGCACTTGATGTGAATTATTAATAGTGTAAGACCTAATAATAAACAAATACATCCTACAACTATGTAAGCAATACCAAGAAAGGGATTTTTTCCACCGAGAAGAGACGTAGTACTTAAAATCATTCTTTTCTTGCCATCAAAAGCTGATACTGGATATGCTATGAAAAGAGAATATACATTATTTAATTATTTTTATATAATTGTACACATTACAGTTTGCTTACTTAATATAATCTTTACTTACAATAATTGACAGTAAGTTTATAATCTCCTTCCAATAATCCATCACCGAAACCATTCACTGTATGGTTTACCCTACGATAAAGTTTTCTAAAAGTGGGTAATGCGGCAGTTCTCATCCAAACAATTAAATCTTCATTTTGGAAACCATTATTACTTTCATCATCTGGATCTAACTCGTAAATATATTTAGTCCAGTCCTTTGGCTTTGCATATTCTTTAAATGCTACTTTCAAGTCACCCTCAGGATTTCTAAATTTGATGTTCTTATCCGAAGGCCAAGCTATACCAGTTTTTAATAATGGCACATTTGCTTTATGACTCATCGAATACAATGCTAATTCATCGCTGAATAAAGAATTAGCAATAGCTCCACATGGTACAATTGCTGTACTTCCCTCATAAGCAAATGGCGCACAATCGCCAGAGACATCATTGCTTAATTTTCCTAATAATTGATTATCGTCGCGTGACTTTACATATCGTCTATGATTCTGATAAAAATTAGTCAGACCATAATACATGTAAATCCTTCCATTAAAATGGGATGGTAACGTGAAATTTATTTCACAAATACAAGGGGGATTAGGGTGAGGTGTATGCGTTATAAAGTCTGCACATTTATAAGGTACTTTATCAGCAAGAAAATAGTTTGTAGAATTGCAGTCCGTGTAATCTATGATATATTCTTTGACTTGATCAGAGAAGTAAAGCAATCCAATTCCAACTGGTATAAAAGCAATTCCTATTACAAAAAATGTTGGTAATACAGTACCGGCTGTAAGTATTGGCTGCCAAGCAGGTAAACGTTGCTGTTTAAATGCACTATCTGTTTAAACAAAACATTTGACATAACATTTATTTGTTTCATTGTAATAGTAATGAAGAAAATTAATTTATTATTTATTCGAATAGATATATTCAATAAATTATTAATTTTGTTAAATTAAGTTTGTTAAAATCTTTACGGAAATACAAATTTTTATGGGTTAATTTATAGTGATTTTACCAAATAGAAATTTGTTTTATTTATTAAAGATGCTACCAGCTTTCAAATAAAATAAGAACGTTAGTGCATATTCATTTCTTTTCTATATTAAATTTAGTAAAATAGAAAATATCAAAATAGATAAAATCTACATTCTGTTTATGAAATTTCTTTAAATACACCATGTCAAACGTAAAAATATAGTTTCTATGTGTTAAACTTACCCGACGGTTTTTTCGTTTTAGGTATTGAATTCACTTCACTAATAGAAGTCATACTTTTTAACAATTGAAATGACAATTCACGTTACAATATTTAACAACTAAGTTCTGCCATTTGTAAAAGGATGATTCTGCTACCAATTACTCATCAATCGTCTTTGATAACATAGCATAGAGTAGAATATCAGTGAACAGAGAACTGTATAGTATGAAACATCAAAATTTAATTAAGTCAGTTTAATCAAGCATATACGTAGTCAGTAAATCATTTTGAATCTATAGCTGTGAAAAAAATAATTCATTTGTGCAAAACATAATTAAAATAGAATTATTTTATAATTTGTCAAATATGTTAGCGTTTTATAAATTGTAAAATTAAATGTCTGTTGTAGCTGCCATCCCTTTCATTTGTAGATTTTTTTTCAATTGTGGTCACCCTGTTCCTAGTAATGAATTGGCTACTATTTAACCACGGTTAGTTTAGAACTTCGTTGTTGATGAAATGTTTGATACGGCTTCGTATTTAAATTTCGAAAATTGAGTTCAAAAGGAGTACGAATTTTTACATAATATATTATGTAAATATGATGTTTATAATATAAAACTTTGTATTTGATATTAAAGTATACAGTGTACATTAAATAAAAAGCTATGGTGAATATTAACATGAATACTGTGTTTTATAAATTATTGAAATCTCGACAAATCATCACTTATTTGCATCAAAAGCATAATTTATTACAACACATATTGTACAGGTGTTACATACCAAAATTTAAACAAGATTCACTGCATTTTTGTTCTAACGAAAAACATTCGTTAGAACCTGTAATAAAAGAGACTTGCAATGTAGGCACAATAGGGCATGTAGATCACGGTAAAACAACTTTAACAGCTGCTATAACAAAATATTTGTCAGAAATTAATAAAACTTGTAAATATGTATCATACAATGAGATTGATAAAGCGCCCGAGGAAAAACGAAGAGGCATTACTATAAATATAGCTCATGTTGGATATGCTACTAACAAGAGAGAATATGCCCATACAGATTGTCCAGGTCATGCTGATTTTATTAAAAATATGATTAGTGGAGCGTCGCAAATGGATGGTGCAATTTTAGTAGTTGCTGCCGATGATGGCCCTATGCCACAAACCAAGGAACATTTATTATTAATTAGTCAACTTGAAATTAAACATCTTATTGTATACATAAATAAGGTACATGTTGATTATGGATAATTATACAAATGTTTTCTCGATTATAACACCTATTAAATTTTATCCAGGTAGATATAGTAGACAAAGACATCATTGAACTTGCAGAAATGGAAACTAGAGAATTGTTGGATAAATATGGATTTAACGGGATTAATACTCCATTTGTCTGTGGTTCAGCTTTGCTTGCTTTGAACGGAGATAAATCAGAAATTGGAGTTCCTTCTGTGCAGTTGCTGTTGAATGCTTTAGATAATCATATTCCAACCACATCGAGAGATTATGCAGCTCCTTTTGTGCTACCAATCGACGATGTGTTTTCTGTACCAGGTAGAGGTACAGTTGTGGTAGGGACATTAACACAGGGCTCAATTGCAAAAAGTGCAGAAGCACATATGGTGGGCTTCGATGTAAAACTTGACACTCATATCTCAGACATTCAGGTAATACTTGAAATTTACCGTTTCTAGAAATATAAATGATACTGTATTCTTGTTTTTAACAGAACTATTCATTTGTATATTTTAATAACACTTTTCAAGAAAAATTTGCAAATGCAAACTAGGTTCCAATATTATTAAGATTTTATAAAATTTATGTAGTTTAGGATAAAATAATGTATCGTCTAAATTTATAAATTATATGTTATTATTAGGTTTTTAAGAAGAGTGTGCCAAAAGCATATGCTGGTCAAAATATTGGTGTTTTATTGAGAGGTATTAAGTTAGGTTCTGTACGTAGAGGAATGGTAGTATGCCAAAAGAATAGTGTAACTCCTACTAATCACTTTGAAGCGCAATTCTATTTATTAGATAAAAGTGAAGGTGGACGTCAAAAACCAATAGCGGTACACATTCTAATAAATGTTATACAATGTAAATTTAATTTTGTTTTGTATAATTAATTTACATTTTGTTTTTGTAGGTAAATGGATTTTCTACACTAATATTCTGTTCAACATGGAACGTGTATTGTCGTTTTGATTTCTTACTACCACCAGGAGTTGATATGTTAATGCCAGGAGAATTTGCAACCGCCAAGTTAACACTTCTTTATCGCATGCCAATAGCAGAAGGCAAAGTCTTTACTGTCCGAGAACATAATCTAATAATCGGCACAGGAAAAATTACAAAAGTGCATAAGCCAATAACTTTTGAGAAAGACAAACTACATATGATCAAAGTTTGAATATATAATTTTTACATTTTAATAGACAATTGAAATTTTTCATTTGCATTATACTCAGCTCTTTTCCTTCAAGACTTTCGTCTTGAATTGAGCATTTGAGGATGCATTATGACAAGGAAAATAAAGCAACAGAAAGTTGAAAAAATTCTAGAACTTTATTACTCGTTTCTTTCGATACACTTCTCCCGCTTCTGCTATAAATGAAATTTTCTTTGGGAAAAGCAACCATTCGTAATAACCAATTATGATATTTTATAACGATCAACATGTAATGAGAGTAAACATTCATGTAGGACTATCGTATTTAGCGTTCGGATGTGGAATTCTTTCTTTGTAATAATATTTATAATGTGCAAGTGTTATACATTAAAAACTATTACAATAATGAATATCATTTGCACATGACTCTTGCACAGCAGAGAAATATTATTTATTTATACTGACAAGTTACTCCGAAAAAGATGCAAGGAAGTCAGTAACGACCTTTTTCAATTTCGCATCAGAGGCTTCGCTAATAGTATTTTCCTTAGCGATTGTATTTAAGAGGTCTCGTTGGCTGGCCCTGAAACATTCGAATGTTCAATTAACATCATATGTAAATTCATTCCTAATGTAAAGGTAAATTCAACAATTGCTTCGAGAAGGTTACCTGATGTGGGCAAGGAATTCTTTTTCAAAGGCAGTGATTTTTGTAGGTTCCATCTTGTCAAGGTATCCACGGACACCACAGTAAATAACAGCTACTTGTTCTTCGATAGCCATAGGTACTGAGAAAAACATTACAGTCAGTTATGTATACATGTTATCCTGTGTTTTATTAATATTTTTCTTAATTTCATTATGCATATGAAATCTTTTACCGTATTGTCCTTGTTTCAAAAGTTCTGTTAATCTAACACCTCTGTTCAAAAGTTGTTGGGTTGCGGCATCCAAGTCAGACCCGAATTGTGCGAAAGCTGCTACTTCACGGTATTGAGCCAACTCCAATTTCATGGAACCAGCAACCTATAAAACAAAATATAATTAACAAAAAAAACACACAGTATTTTCGAATACTTGGGAATGTATAAATTAGACAGTTACCTGTTTCATGGCTTTCGTCTGAGCGGCAGATCCGACCCGCGATACGGACAAACCTACGTTAATGGCTGGGCGAATACCTTTGTAGAACAATTCAGTTTCCAAGAAAATCTGACCATCAGTGATGGAGATGACATTCGTAGGGATATAAGCGGACACATCACCGGCCTGAGTCTCGATAACTGGTAGAGCAGTCAACGAACCACCTCCCAGACTCTCGTTCATTTTAGCTGCTCTTTCGAGAAGACGGGAATGAAGGTAAAATACATCACCAGGGTAGGCCTCACGACCTGGTGGTCGTCTCAACAGCAGAGACATTTGTCGATATGCAACGGCTTGTTTCGACAAATCGTCGTATATGATCAAAGCGTGCTTCCCATTATCTCTGTAAGACAGAAAATTGTAATAATATTATCGACAATTAAAAGCTGCATTATCTATTACGGTACTGGTTTGTTCTATCCCCACCGCTTACCCACGACTCACCGAGCTTCCGCCACTGTGCAGGCGGAGAGAAAAAGGGAAGCGAAAAAAAATTTAGAAGACTTTACCCAGATGTATTTGTATAAGTGACGAAGATCGAACGTATTTGTATAAGTGGCGGGGACAGGACAAACCAGTTGTGACATTTTCATATTTGTTTCATGGAAGTTTAGAACAAACTAAGACTACCTGAAGAATTCTCCCATAGCGCAACCAGAATACGGAGCCAAATACTGTAGAGGTGCTGCATCAGAAGCGGTAGCAGAGACAATAATAGTGTAATTGATGGCTCCACTATCCGTCAGACGTTTTACAATTTGGGCTACGGTAGATCTCTTCTGACCGATAGCAACGTAAATACAGTACAATTTCTTCTTTTCTTCTCCAGCGTCATTGAATCGTTTCTGGTTAATGATAGTATCAATGGCAAGAGCAGTTTTACCAGTCTGTCTGTCACCAATAATCAATTCACGTTGACCACGACCAATAGGTACCAAAGAATCTACAGCTTTAATTCCAGTCTGCATAGGCTCTCTTACAGATACCCTGATAAAAATATTTGCAATGAAATATAGTAAAAAATGATGATTCCATTTATGTAACAAGCAATGCTAATTGCTATGTAAAAAATAAATACCTAGGGATAATACCAGGTGCCTTGGTACCAATACGGAATCTTAACTTGCTGTTAAGGGGTCCTTTCCCATCGATAGGATTACCCAATGCATCTACGACACGTCCTAGCAATTCTTCGCCGACTGGCACGTCCACGATAGCTCCAGTACGTTTAACAATGTCTCCCTCCTTAATATGCCTGTCATTACCAAATACGACAACACCAACATTATCGGGTTCCAAGTTCAGAGCCATACCCTTCAATCCTGAACTAAATTCTACCATCTCGTCAGCTTGAATGTTTTTAAGCCCGTATACACGAGCAATACCATCACCGATGCTCAATACCCTACCAGTTTCCTCAAGATTGGTCTATAATTTCATTAAAAAATAAATTAATGGAGATATATACGTTAAGAACTTAAATATCATTAAATGTTATATAGAATAATATAATACATTCATATTATTTAATGTGCTCTCGCTTAATGTCAAAATGTAATGATATACCTTTGGAGATGAACCAAGTATACGCTCCTCCAAAATGGAAGAGATTTCAGCAGAACGACGACTGCAGGATACATGATATTTGCAGGATGCAATGCTTGCAACAGGCCATTTCACCTATAAAAACGAATTCTAATTCATTATTGTTATATTACAGTCACAGTGCAACCTAAATACTTATTACATAACTTGGTACCTTTATGTTTATGTAATACACTATAAGCAAAGCATTTGTAACAAAATTAGTACTTCAATTGTCATCAAGTTTTAACAAAGATAATTATTATTTAACGGAAATAACGTCTTCTTTAAAAAATAAGAGAATCGAAAAGGCGGAGCATTCAGCTGAACAGTTGTCCCAAGGTAGAAAATGTCGGCATGTTCGATGCAGCAATTCTTTCATGAATAAATAGTTGAAAAGAGATTCTTAAAAGTATGATCACCTGAATTGTAGCATTCGGCAATTGCCTTGCTATCGAGGAAGCCAAACGTAGAGATAGTTGAGCCATTTCGATGTGTCGAAAAGCCCGTCAACCGGACCACGAATTCAGAAACGAAGAACGGTCACGACAGGAACGAGCAGAAGAACGTCCCGTTCAACCCCACTCTGACATCCACACCGGCAGGAAGTCGATATCCATCGACCTGCGCCATAGCCTCGAATCCAGATGCATGCATTAATTCATAAACTAGCATATACTTTACCTAGTATTCCGAAAATAAAGTTTAGCACAATTTCTGTGTCGAACAAACATTTATGGAACGATGTGTTTACTTAACAAATATTTAATATATAAGTCTCAGTGTATTGAACTTTGGGTGCGAGGTTAAACATATTTACGCAGTCTCGATAGAAGAAATAGGCGCCCAATTTCAATTTAAACTCTGTCTGACTGTACACCAACTGTATAATTATTATTTAATGCAATAGAACTTGGAATTTCGTATGAAGTAACTTATTATTTTTACACGCATGAAGATACAGGTAGACGAATGTCAATAACCATGAACTAAGAAACTTGAATTTCATTGTTTCAAAATTATGAATGTGACATAAATTTATTATTGTTAAAAAAAAATGCATTTCTTGAAGTAAAATATAAATAAAAAATTAATATAAAATCATTTTTCTGGTATATACAGTGTTGTATAGTATGCATGATACGTATATTTATAAATCTGTATAAAGCTCTTTTCTTCAATCTTTATATTGTCCAATTCATTCATTCGATTAAAAAGTATCACATATTTTTGTATTAATTATAAGAAACATGTACCTATTTATTGGTAAACATTTATAGTAAATATTTATCGTTGAACATGAAACTATTCGAACTCGGTAAGTTTCGATATTGCATCCAGATGTAGTAACAGTTTAGTGATGACGGATTATTTTCTACGCTTTCGATTGTCATCGATTAGAAGCATTTTCTACAAATGATAAGTGAATGTTTATAAGAAACAAATAGTTTTATGGTTTGCAAAATCTGTCAAAAGTTCAGGTTAAGTTAGTGAAATATGGAAGCGTCATTGCACCGGCGCCAAAGTTTGTTATTTTGTCATATCGTATTGATTATTGCTGTTGACCGTATTTTAAAGAGATACCGACAACGATTTTGAGAAAAAGCAAATGAATAATCATCAAGGAAAAAATGAAAAAGAATTAAACAATCTGTCCATGCTGAAAGACGTTCATCGCGTTCTTGATAATTACAATATCGCCGTTTCTTTCATCCGAAAACGGCAGGTGACAAAACTAGTAAATTCATTGTTTACAATTTATATGAAACCATACATAAACTATTTCACTCGAACTACACATTACAGGTAAATGAAGGCTAATTTGTAATAGGAGATACATTCGAATGGCACTGTGTACATTGGAACTACTTGTCTCTTAATAACAAGTGGTTATCATTATAAACCTAAAAATATGGATGCTGCCACTGAATCAGAACTTATAGAAAAGTTAGTGAAAGAAGCTGAAAGTTTGAAAATACGATTAGAAGAAGAACGACAGAAATTAAATGATATTACTCGTAACTGTCATATTAATCTTATCTAAGAGACAATGTTAAGTCTTATGAGATATATAAAACAGGATTACTTATTGATTTTGTACTAAAATATTTTTAAGACGTAACATTGTGCCTATCTAATAAGTTATAATACTCGTAATATTGAAATAATTCAATCAATATTGTCATTTCAGTTGCCAGTGTTGCAGATAGACTCGAAGCAATCAATTGTACTAATGTGAAACCGCGTCGTGTTTTAAAAGGTCACCAAGCCAAAGTCCTTTGTTCCGATTGGTCACCGGATAAACGTCATATCGTTTCCTCTTCACAGGTTTATGCCAATTCTAATTATTTATATATACCGTTAAAATATATCTTCATACAACGAATGTTCTAGGATGGCAAAATGATAATATGGGATGCATTTACAACGAACAAAGAACATGCTCTTACTATGCCAACAATCTGGGTTATGGCTTGCGCTTATGCTCCAAGCGGTGCTCTCGTTGCGTGCGGGTATTAAGAATATATAAAATTAAAGTCAATGTCAACTGGCCACTTGAGGTCACTTTTTTGTGACTTTGTGAACTCTTTTCTCGCTTGGAACATTTTCATATATATCTTAATATAAAATCTTTACATAAAAAATTAAGGGTATATAGAATTAAATGCCTAATAGTGTGGCTTATAAATTTGAATGTTATAACATTCGTGTAATTTCGTATCACAATGAAAATGAATGCTGTAGGATTCACGTCCGCGAACGTGTTAATTTTTCCTGAATGACCTACAGTGATCAATTGATTTGACATGTTTAATATTTTGTGTTCTATCATGGTGACTTGTACGTTATATTTGCTTTTTATAGAGGATTGGATAATAAAGTTACCGTATATCCTTTGAGTCAAGAAGATGATGTATCAACGCGTAAAAAAACCGTTGCTACGCATACATCTTACATGTCTTGCTGCGTATTTCCGAATAGCGATCAACAGATTTTAACTGGCAGCGGAGATAGCACGTGCGCTTTATGGGATGTAGAAAGCGGACAACTACTGCAAAGCTTTCTTAGGCATTCCAGCGATGTTATGTCTATTGATTTAGCGCCAAGTGAAACCGGTAACACATTTGTTTCCGGCAGTTGCGATAAAATGGTTCTAATATGGGATATGCGGACTGGTCAATGTGTTCAAAGTTTCGAAGGACATCGATCTGATGTTAACTCTGTATGTAAACATTGATTTATATGTTATACCGTTATATAATTTTCATTATATCATTCTATTTGGGGTTTAGGTGAAATTTCATCCCGGCGGTGATGCAGTCGCAACGGGTTCCGACGATGCAACTTGTCGCCTGTTTGATTTACGCGCGGATAGAGAAATAGCCGTTTACGCAAAAGAAAGTATAATATTTGGAGCAAACGCTGTTGACTTGAGTGTCAGTGGACGGCTGCTTTTCGCCGGTTACAATGACTACACTGTAAATATATGGGATACTCTGAAATGTCAACGAATCGCATTTTTGTATGGACACGAAAATCGAGTATCTTGCTTACGAGTCTCTCCGGATGGAACTGCCCTTTCGACTGGAAGTTGGGATTCAACTCTACGAGTTTGGGCTTAGCTTCGATAAAACTGCACTTGCCATCTCATTACATTGTGTTAGATGAAACCCGAACAATTCTTTATGCAAAATGTACATTTTAAGATCTATACAATAAGATTATCGCATATACAAAGATTTTAAGTACAATACTCCAAAGAGAACACGATGTATGAATTATTGTAGCATAAGAGAAATGTTCTACTCATTATACAGGATATTGTAGCAAATAAGTGAGATTAGTAATTGTGATTGAATATCACGATTATAACAATGTGATAGTTGACATTAATCATTTTTAGGCTGGTCCTAATTTATAGGAAATTGCGTGAATAGTTCATCTATTTAATCAAATGTGTTATTGTCCTGTATAAAACTTAATAAAACATTGATTTATGCATATTCTATGTGATAAATAATATAATGTTTTATATTTTTCCCGATTGTTTTGCATTGTACAGAAATGAGTATCAACGATATAGTGCATTTATTGAAAGTCATTGAGTCTGATTATTGAATGTTGGTAAACTAAAGATTTACAATGTTGCTTCTAATATTGATTAACGATTACAAATACACGATAAATTTGATAATACTGTAGATTACATTGCCGTCGAACGACAAAGTTCGAACCGGATGGTGTGTATTATTCGTATGTTGCGTATGTTGTGCTATTCGTAATGTGCATGACATTCATTCACTAGCCTATGTAAAGTGGTGTTAGATGTATCGCACTGTTGCTGCTGGCACTTGTCTCGCGCGCGCGCGCGGTTTCCAGGTGAGGGAATAACCCTGCGCATGCATGTATGCGAATGTCTGACGGTGCATTTTACCGAAGTTTATAGTCATAGTGGTCAAATATTGTAAAAATTAAGTTTACGAATTGATATACTTTTACAAGAAGTAAATATATTTAAAAAAACTTCAAGAAATATGCCTCAATACTCAGGTATGTTTTGTGAAAATTCAAGTTTTACATATCTAACCTAAAATTTCTTACGGAACCTTTTACCGTTTTATATTCGGCAATTGACCATTTAAATGTTTCGTTTTAGTTAAAGTCAGATGGGGAAAGGATCTTTTTGTTGGCGTAGAGGTTAATACAGACGAGGTACCAATGTTGTTTAAAGCACAACTATTTGCACTCACAGGAGTGCGGCCAGAAAGACAAAAAGTCATGTTACAAGGATTAACATTGAAAGACGATGATTGGGGTAACATCAAATTAAAAGATGTAAGAACATAATTTAAACCGTTATTATGAATATTTTTACCTATGGTAATACACATTATAAATAAAAACTGAAAGTTTCAAATGTTATCAGTTTAATTTTATAAATGTTGTCTTTGTAACAGGGCATTATGGTATTGATGATGGGTTCTAAAGAGGAAGATGTACCAACAGAACCTACAGAAAAACCATTGTTTCTAGAAGATATGAACGAATCTGAATTAGCCACAGCTTTAGGTTTACCTGTTGGTTTGACCAATTTTGGAAATACATGTTACTTTAATGCAACTGTGCAATGCCTGAAAACTGTCCCTGAACTACGAGATGCTTTAAGGGGTTTTTCAGGAGAAGTTGCTGCTAACAATGGTTTTGCACATAATATAACAGCCGGTTTAAGAAATTTGTACGAGGGTATGGATCAAAGGAGATTCTATTCACCCTTTTTTCTGGTGGAACTAATGCGTCTGAAGTTTCCAAGATTTGCCGAACAATCTGAAAATGGTAGATTTCAGCAGCAGGATGCTAATGAATGTTGGACACAACTTCTTAGAATGTTGCAAAAAATATTACCAGCAAAGGTGGTTACATATTTAATATTGTTTGAAATTTTTCAAATACAGGTGGCTTATAATCAAAATTATTTCATTAAGTCATATTCATATTATAAATCAAAACTATTCATTTATGTCTCCACTGATACTATTATTATTTAGATTTTAATATATATAAATTCTTTCATACATAAGTTAAACACACATTTCGTTTTGCCATGCACATAATCCCAAACTGTTGAATTATACTCATAAGTGTAAAATGACAACAGGAAAATTCTGCACCTTCGGAAGATGATGGACAAAGTTATAAGCCTCGATCACTGATTCAACAATATTTCGGAGGAACGTTCGATACAGAATTAAAATGTGTAGAATCTGAAGATGAACCACCCACAAAAGGAAAAGAGGAATTTTTACAACTAAGTTGTTTCATATCAACTGAAGTTAAGTACATGCATTCTGGACTTAGGAATAAGATGCAAGAACAAATTACAAAACTGTCCTCGACGTTGGGCAGAGATGCTGTATATACAAAAACGGTAAAAAAAATGTACAATGTGAAAAAGTTTTTACATTCAAAACAATGATGTTTTACATTTAAATATGTATGATTATTTGTTTTACAGTCAAAAATTAGTAGATTGCCAGCATATTTAACTATCCAATTTGTACGTTTTTATTATAAAGAAAAGGAGGCGATTAATGCAAAAATTCTCAAGGATGTGAAATTTCCTCTTGAATTTGATGCTTTTGAATTATGCACCAATGAACTTCAAACTAAGCTCACCCCGATGCGTGAAAAATTTAAAGAATACGAAGACACTTTACTGGAAGAATCGCGTAACGCAAAAGACAAAAAGGACAAGGAAGATAATAAAAAGCAAATGAAACAGGAATCATTTTGGTTTTCAGACGGTACAAAATTTATGTTGAAACTGTTTGTAATACCATTTTCTTTCGTGTTACCGTTTGTATTTTTACAATTACAGATTTAGGCTCGAACAACAGTGGTTTCTATATTCTGCAGGCAGTTCTAACGCATGGGGGCCGATCAAGTAGTAGTGGTCATTATATAGCTTGGGTTCGTCAAAAAGAAGACAGTTGGTTAAAATGTGACGATGAAAATGTTAATGCTGTAACCAGTGAAGATGTTTTAAAACTTAGCGGTGGTGGTGACTGGCATTGTGCATACGTTCTTCTTTACGGCCCGAAAATTTTAGAAGTACCTGATACAGATAATAGTGAAGATTCAGCCAGCAAGTAATTGTTGCGTAACACAAAATTTAAATGACTGTAACAAAGTTTCCTCCTTGAACTATCAGAGGAATGCATTTAAAAGTTTTAAAAATTCCCAGCGCTATTGTACCCACATACAAGGCACATCTTTCTCTTTTCTACTTAGCTCCAGGTACAAGCTTATTGAAAATACCATCAACATCCAAAGAATTCTGTTTTTCTTTGTCACGTTTGCGTTATCCTTCTGGCAAGTGAATTGTAAAGAACGCATTTCTTTTCGTAAAATACAAAGATTACGGGTATGATGTCGACTAATTGTTGTTAAGAAATTCTTGCTCTAATACGTTGAGAAGAATTGTATCGCATCATATTTAATTAATTAGTATTTTCAATTTGCCAAAATATTGTATGATGTATACATATTATATATTGCTTAAATACACAAACATTGTATGCTATATCTCTCTTTTTCCCTCTCTTCCTCATTCAATATAACATACGCACATACACATGTATGCGTGTACATATAATTATATGTAATATAATTATATGTAATATAATTATATATATATATATATATAATTTATGTACACGTATACTCGCATATATGTGTGTACATTTAAGTATAAGAAGATAAATGTGGAAATCTGATAATGTAATAAATGAGATTTTATACGCGCACACTAAAGTGTAAAAGCACGATATGATATACTCTTATAGATATATGTGTGTATAGGAAAACTTGTGAAGCAGATAATCTGAAACAGGTAAGCAGTCCAACCGCAGATACCGCCGGTCGCAGTCGTAGCGTTACAGTTACCATGTAATTTACCAAAAAGTAAAGTGCGACACATACAACGATTTTATAAACACGTGGACGTTTCAAGTGAATTATGCACGAGGATGAATTCAAAAACATTCTTTAATAAAACTCTACGCCATTTGTTCCACAGATTTTTGAGGTAATAAATATAATGTATCAGTAGCATGGATAAGTATCAGATTATTAAAGTGACAACAGTTTTTATCTAATGAACATTCGTTAAATCGTTACGTATGCCAACCGAGGTAATATTTAAATATTCCTACGATCGATACGAATCAATCGAATATAATCTCAGACTAATTCGATAAAGTTAATGTAACGTCGTTATTTAGTTATTTTATATCTTATAATTAATCAGCTTTACAAAGACTCTATTGTATTACGGTGAAAATTACATAAGCGGTTTCTAAAATGTTACACGCAAGAATTGATCGCTATACTTTAAAGAGTCCTCTTAACGATGCGATAAACTTTTTAACTTAATTTCGATAAGGTATTCGTCGATCTCTCTCGAACCGTGTAATCTAGGCAAATTTTAACGACAAAGGATAAGAGACAAATTTTTCTTTCGATACTTTATCACCATTAGTATCTTTTTGCCCTTTCTAGTTTTGTATCGTTTTGTTTT